TTTCCTGGGCGTCGACAACCGTATCGCGAAACCTTTTCAGCCGTGGATAGAAGGTTGCGGGAGACAGGATCAGTTTTACCTAAAAATCAGGAGATTGGACGAGGTCGAGATCCAGATATGGTCAACATTGAAGAGCACATTATCAATCGTGTTGAAGAAGACCCGTCGGCTAGTACGCGTGAAATTGCTCGAGAAGTAGGTGTTAGTCGCTGGACTGTGTGGAGAACGCTACGAGAATCTCTTTTGTACCCGTACCACCTCCAGCGGGTCCAGAGTTTAAGTCCGAACGATTTCATTCCTAGACAAAACTTTTGCCGATGGGTAGTGAACAGCAATAATGAAACTCCCGGATTTCTTTCTTCCATACTGATGCCAGATGAATGCTGTTTTACTAGGGATGGAATACTAAATTTTCATAATACTCACCGCTGGGCAGATGCCAATCCTCACGCGATTTACGAGACGCACTTTCAACAACGTTTTTCATTAAACATTTGGGCCGGAATAATAGGAAATCAAATGATAGGACCATATGTTCTACCGGAAAGACTGAACGGAGACAATTACTTTCATTTTTTGGAAACACATTTGCCATTGTTATTGGAAGATGTACCTTTAGACATTCGACGAAGGATGTACTTTATGCACGATGGTGCTCCTGCGCATTTTAGTTTACAAGTGCGACAATTCCTGACGAATGTTTATGGTGAGAGATGGATTGGAAGAGGTGGACCCATCGCTTGGCCACCCCGTTCTCCCGATCTTAACAGTTGTGATTACTACTTATGGGGTTATATGAAATCAATTGTTTATCGAACTCCAGTTAATAATTTAGAAGATTTAGAAGCAAGAGTTATGATGGCTGCAGAACGGATTCGAAACGATCCTCAAGAATTAAATAGAGTCAGTAACTCATTACTCAGGAGAGCAGAAGCTTGTATTCGTGCAAATGGTGCTCACTTCCAACATCTGCTTTAATTTGCTTGTTTTGTTTTTGCGTTTTTTGTTTTTATTTTCGCTTATTCGTTTTGTTTGTTTATTATAATTAAAGGTTATTTTTCTTTGTGTTGAAAATTATATTTAACAAATTGGCTTAAATTTTAAAATCGTTGGAAGATTTTGAACAAAGTTTTTAACTTATACAATACATTTCTTGTATTTGTTTTTCCGCAAAGCAAAAGTAGAATATAAATTTATTAAGAAAAGATAACTGCTGGACAATCGAAAAATAAAAAGATAATGTTGGACGTTGGAGTGCTAAGCTGTGTTTAACACCAATTTTTACATGATTTTTGAGAATATTTCAACTGCTTAGACTATTTCTAGGATCTTTTTTTATTTCCTAATATGAAAAAAATTCTTAAAAACAAGAACAATTAGTATATGGTTAACCATTAAGAAGTAACAAAGAAAATACCTTAAGCGTTCTATGATTTCGGTACTCTAAGGGTACCTTTTTATTATCAATAATGAAATCACTTCCATTGCAAAGAGGATACTAAACGCAGTTTAAGATGAGGGAATTGGCAGGAAACCCGACAGTTATCGTACAAAGGGCAAATGCGTATAAAATGAGTTTTTCTGTCATTTCAGTAGTAAGTGTTCCTTGCTACGGTTCACTTTCGCGTACACGGCTTGCGCCGGGATTGTTTGCTGATCTTGTTCGTACGCAGGAGCCTCATGTACATTGTGTAAGTTCGGATTTTTACCTACAAGCGGCAAATTATTTTGTTGCAATTTTCATAACGAGTAGTATACGAACGATCAACAAGCGGAGTTAGTTGTCCTACATTCCCAACCGTTCCGCTGCTACATTAATGGACCACATTAGGCGAGTGATCAGACCGGACTCGGAAATATGGACCGACGAACTTAGGTCCTACAGACTCCTCCGAATCTTGGGTGGAGCGTCCTCATTTGTTCATCAAACAGTTAACCATAGTCGCTTTTTTCAAGATCGAACAACAGGGGTCTGTACTAATCAAGTCGAAGGGTAGTGAGGAGGATGAAAAGTTTTATCACGAGGTTGGGTGCCATGAGTTGTCCTTTTTTGCCGTAGTATTAGATCAACTGGGAGCGCTATTGCGCTGAGTTGACGAACTATTTCAACATTTCATTTACCACACTGCTGAATAGATAGATTTTCCTAATCTTTCTAGTGTTTTCCTTCGGGATTTTTTTCAGGGGAAAAACGCAAAACCCCTTCTTTCTGGTATCACTGCAAGTTTTCAGAGGCCGTTTGTGGTGTTTTCTGAAATTTCCGTTAACAACCGCGTTGGTACCCTTATTAGCGTGTCGGAACGGCGTCTATTTCGTTAAACGTCCGAATCAAACATTTTAAAACTCAAGGTGTTTATTGTATTGATGTAAATGTGACATTTTTGTCAATTTTTGACAAATTAGATTTAATCGTTTCTAAGGAAATAATCATTTTAGTTCCAGAATTTTCACAACTACCTTAGAAAAAAAAGACAACGTCGGCAGTTCTCAAAATGTGGGGACTGATTTTTCGATACGCTTTTTAGAAAAAACTATTAACCTTTGAAAAAAGTGTTATTAGCATTTTTTGTTGTTCTCTTCTTCAGGAGCCTACCTTCAAATTTTGTTGCAAGCATTCCCTAACACCCTGTATATTTTAATCTCTCGTCAAAGAAATCTATATAAAGACAATATTCTGGCATGCATTGGGTCAGCCGCGACGAGGAAAATACCCCTGAACTCTTTAGAAGAATTTTACTTCCAAAGATTCAGCTAAAGAAGTTGTAATAGGATCAATCTGACGTTTCATGACTCCTAGAGTACGAACAATAGGTCTTCCATGAGATAAATGCTCAAATTTTAGTTAATATTCTGTAATCGCTCAAACCATGTCTTAAAATCTTGACAACATTTTAGAATAGCTGAGAATTGAAAATTGTTTTTACTAACCGAAACCATGCAACTTTGAATATATGACTTAAACAGTTATTTGTGTTCAGTCAATAACTATGTGTCAACATAGTTGTGACAATTGTTTTCATTTTAACAATTTTCGAACCGTATTGGCCCAAAAATATCATTACGTAACTTGTGATGTTCAGAAACAGGGCATTCTTAGAAAACAATTTTTATAAAAGAAGCAAAAAAAGATACTAGTAAAGTTAATTTCATGTTTTTTTAGACGTTCCATAACCCCTACAGTACGAAACAATAAGTCTCCCGTTCTGTCTGTCTGCTGACTTTTATTAGGCTGGTAGTCTCCGAAACTATAGAACCGAGTGTCAAATTTTAAATGTGTGTTAGGAATATCATATAGATGGTAAAACGCTAACCTAAGTTTGTCTAATCATCTCCAATCACGCTATAATGACGTCACCTTAATTTTTTTTTTTTTTTAATTTGATAAAATAATTTACTCCCGTGCCTCTGTTTTATGAATCCGTCTTGTTTTTGTTTATTATTATTAATTACTACAATGTTTATATCTCGCTTGGAGGTTTTGCTTCTCATATGGAATTACTTATACAGGATGACTCAGTTGAGTGAGTCAATTTATTGAGGAACGGCTCGTTTCATTTTCCCGAAATCTCTAGTATTACACTGCACCTATCCAAATTGATATACGTGTCCTGATGATGTTGATGACATCATCAGAAAATTTTGTTATGGAAAATATCACTTAAAATAAATAACAGCAACGCGTATCTCGCTTCTTTACCTGTACTTAAACATTACATACATATATCTTTATTTTAACTTATTATAAGGGTTCCTACAAAAAAGTTTTAACATTTTTTGAAAAAAGTGGATGTTTTATTGTACTTCACGACTGAGGGAAGTTCTGTCGAAATAACCTTCAACCAACTTTTTATGATTAGTCTTGCACTGCACACATCGAAACTGACATACGTGTCCTGCTGAAATGTTGATCAGAACATTTTCGAATGGGAAAACACGACGGAAAAACAGGCATAGCCTTGTGCTTTATGGCTGTATTCATATTTTTGGCGTAATTGTTAATCGAGCCTCCGTTTCCATCATCGGTGGAGAATTGCGAACTGACACTCCGCGCTAGACCAGATAACATAATACGTTCGATTCAAAGACAGTGGCGGAGTTTGGGTAATTACAGTGTGATACATTATTGCATTCTCAAAAACACGCTCTAGAAGTTTTTATTAAGTTGGTATTATCCATAGTGTTTTTTTTTCCTAAATAACTAGATTTATTTAATTATACTCAGGGGTGTGTGAAGTTCTGTTAAAGAACATTAACCTATTTTTTTATTTTAAGAGTTCTTTCAGTGTTTAAATTAAATGCTGTCAAATTACATGCGTACTCACGTATAATATTAGAAACCAAATATCAACTTTCATCAAACAACAACTCATTTAAAGAAAATACGCTCTGATTATAAATCATTTTAATAAATATTTTTGAATATGTTTTTTGGAAATCACATGTCATTGACAACAATCGAAATACGAAAAATATTGCAAATACATACATTAATATTTTTTATGTATCATATAGACAAGTAAACTTGATAATTAACATTAATTTCAACAATAATCAGCAGCGTGGTCTTTTTTTTATAAAACATTTTCGCAGACACAATTATTTCAATTATTTTTTCACTTAATCTTCTCTGTATTATAGAAAGGAGATTCTGTAAATGTTGATTACTTTGTTAGACAAATGATCTTCAAAATTCAAAAATGTACTTAATTGCTGTAAAAATGTGACTCAACACTTAAATTACCATGCCTTAGCCATTGCATTCTTTTGTCCAAACAACTGATGAGCTCATCTCAAAATATTGTTAAGTAAAATCACTCTCGTTTGAATTGAGTGCCTGTGGTTTCATATTTTCTAATAATTTCTAATGATAAAATTTTTTAGTTTATTTTAGAGACATTCCAAAGTTTTTACAAATTTTGGTTAGATACTAGCACCGACTTAAGCATTAAAGAGGAACGAACATAAACTGAAGTGATGGCCTCATTACAAAGTTTTTTAAACTTTCCATTTCCTTTGCTTTCCTGTTGACAACTCTCTCCTTGCTCTTCCCCTGCAAAATATATAAATCACAATGTTAAAATTATGTGGAATAATCAAGTGTTATTCGTTATCACCTATTTTATCATCATAATATTTATTAAATTATTATTTGAAATTATTTGTCCAGAATTTTCTTAGTTTCGGAAGCACCACCAACTCTGCAGTTCTCCATTGTCAGAACGTTTTGCGTCTACTCTATTTCAACAGTGCGTACATTTATTGGGGAATTGCTTCACATAAAAGTAACTTAAGGGTGGCGTCTGGTTCGGTTTCGCCCAATACTAAATACATTGAAAACGTCGTCGTAGTTTCCGGAATTGCATTTTTAAAATACTGAAATCTCCAACCAAGTCAGAATCTAAGTAAACCTGCATTCTGCTACCGCATCACAGCTCGTTTAATGCCGATTTCTCGTTTCAATAGATTTTAACTTTTCGCGAGTTATTTACCTCAGTCGTGGATTTTTTAATATTATAAATGGTATCAAAAGAAAGCTGACACTTTTCCCCAGGGGACCTCCTATCTCAGAATGCAAAAAACTTCAGCACTTCGTCAAAAAATGCATCAATGTGCCGGTTAAAATGTGATGTAAAAGTTGTTCAACTTTATAATTTTTTTTTGTAAAAACTGCATACTAGATATGAATATAAATATGGAGGTCCCTTGGACTGAAGTTTGTTAATTCGAAATATAATTTTTTTAAAGCGATATATCTCATATTTTTAAAATGCAACTCCGGAAACCGCGACGATGTTTTCAATGTATTTAGTATAGGGCTAAACCGAACCAGACGCCAGCCTTAATGCTGTACAGATCGTCTGTACTCGAGAACACCGAATTAACTCAAAATGAATAAATTTTACAGGAAATCCATGTGAAAAGTGTAGGTTTATTCTCAATTAAAAGTTTGTTTAAATTAGAATAATGTTTAGCAATTTTTAGTTTTGGTATATTAAGTAAAGGATTCTAGTTCAGTTTGAAATAGTTTTTTACTAACGATTTTAGTTTTGACACTTAACTTCAAGGATGTTTGAAATTCCATTTAAATTTTGTCAATTTTCGCGAAAAATTATTACTGCTCCTGAGTCAAAGTATTTCATCATTATTGCAATAAAAGAACTAGACTTCTTATTATCTTTTAACAAAAAAAAAATAAAAAAAAATAAAAACAATATATTATTGCGAACATAAACAAAAAAATATGCAATAGAAACTAAAAGAAAGTATATTGAATATTGTCAACGGTTCTTAAAGGTAGTTAAAAAATTTAAAATTATATTGAGGAATAGTATTTTTTTAATAAACTCAAAATGCTTTCCTTCTTCTTCTTGTATAATTGTGACCTCTCGTAATTACTATTGATATTCAACTTGCGCCATTTTTCCTCATAAAAATATGAGCTTTAGTGAAGTGAATTACACATACACCGAAAACAATAGAATTTGAATTATGTCACTTTTCTTGTGTACCGGTGAATAACTAAATATAAAACTACCATTAGGCTAGGAAAAGCAATAAAACAAAACTGCGATATCTTGCAGCTGAAATTAAACTTTACTTGCTTGCATATTAAAAGCGGTAAGTGTTCTATGGAACAGCAAAAGAATTAGTGTTTTGAAATGGTACTTACTAAAGGCCCGTTTTCACAGCTGCGTGTGTGTCAAGCAAACACAGAAAGCAATAATTGAGATCTACAACATTTTATAACCGCGTCAACCACCAGCGTTGAAACTTTTGATCACTGATATAAGATACAAATTTTGTAGATAAAAATCGATATAAATGTTAAAATACATTTCTTATCACAAACTTAGGTGCCGGAGAAAATATATTTTAACACAGTGAAATATGTTAATCACACACATTTTTTGTTTACTTCATCATAACGCAAAGAAACAATAAATGATGTTCGAAACTTTTAAATCTCCAAAGGAATCCATTAACTTAAACCAGTGAATTGATTGTGATCAGACTTACATCCACCCAAAACACATAAAATGTTAAAGGCTACTTAGTATTCGTTTAAATAGTATAATTGTAATGATCCAATGATTCGAAGCTGTTTTTTCTAGCAGTTCATAAAATTCAAATAACTTCCATTAAAAATTCCGTCCTATCAAAAAGTACCAACCTTAGTCAAGCATAAACATTAGGATACGAAATAATGAAAGGTTCAACTCGTTTTCGTGCTCATTTAAATTTGATAGGGGATGCGGTTACCAGCGACTCAAAGAACAAGTTCTGCTGTAGTAAAAAAAACTTTTCTAATAGTGCCGTCATTCCTTGGATCCATCTTCATCGTCTTCATCGCATGAGGATATCTTAAACGCCCATTAACGACCATTCAAATAATGAAATTCAATCAGATAGCATAATAACCAAATAAATTGGAAGATATTCCGATAATGGTCGGTTCTTCTTACGTTTTCGTTTCAAATAAAGATATCCAGCCAATCGTGGATAAAAACGAGAAAGAACTACCTGCCGTTCACTTGCGCTGAATTATACACGCAAAATCCATCTTCAAAGGATGTGAGATTACAGAAAAGGTAATCGTATCTCGTCGGCAAAAAATCCAACTGTTAAACACCATTATCACGTCCTCTACGATTAAATAGCCGATTCCATGCTAAATCACCATTAAATTTCTACAGCATGCTAGTTGAATAAAAGTAATCAAGTTGGCACCTTTGTCCATTGGCTTCGTTCTCCAATTGATGGACGATTGTGGGAGAGAGACGAAACGTACCGGACAGCATTCAATCAGTTAACGGAAGCGGTAATCAAGGCGGCCACGGATTCAACACGGCCCGCTTGATTGTCGATTCTCACGGTGCACGAGCCCCACGCCTACTATATTTCGTCGGCAGGGTTTCTAATCACGGCGCCTAGACAGCCGTGTCATCGCCTAATGGGGGCCTGTGGCTAAAAGATAAGCTATATTGGTGATAACTTCCTTCGACACCAATAAGAACGCGACACTGGCGAAAAATTCCTGTAACTATGACAACAGGGTATTTTCTAAAAAGGAAATACCCCGTCGTTATGGTTACAGGCCAGAAGCAAAACTAATAGATCTAGCGCTCGTTTCGGCCGCAGATCACCGGACGTTCGTTCATTTCATCTCATTAATTTAAAAGTTTTATAAATAAATTCATTAATACAATTTAAATTTTCTGCTTGAATACTTTCATGTGAACAAATTTTCCAGTGCAAAAGGGTCGCACACAGGAAAATCCTTGAAAAAAGTCTGTCCAAATTTACACATATAAAATAATAATAAGTAGAGAGTGGATTTATAAGCACAAAAAAAAAATAAGAATAAGCGCTTAAATAAGCACATAATTTTCAATAAAAAAGTTTTATTTTAAGCAAAAAAGCATTAAATAAGCATAACACTTTGATTAAAAAAGTTTTATTTTAAGCAAAAAAGCATTAAAAACATAATCATATTACAAATCAAAGAACACTTCTTAGAACTTTGGATAAAATATTATTACAATAATCCTAGACTTTATATTTTACACACGTATTTCAGTTTTCTTTAAAACAATTTATGATTGTAATATGTTCCAAGTTGTTCACTGTAAAATTTTTTCGCCGATCATTTAAAATGTGTTTAAAATTGGAGAATGTGCGTTCAACATCCACACTCGTTGTTGGCGCAAATTTGAATTTTGCAACTAATGTTGAATCTAACTCCAAATTTTCCACCTTCTGGCCTTGTAAAACACGAGCAACGTCGGAAAGAACACCGAAACCTGCATTTTTATTTAACACTTCGTCAAGTTTTTGAGATACTCTAGTACCAATATCACCCCTTACTGTGTTTGCTTGTTGTTTAAATTCTTTCACTAAGTTTATGGCATCTACTAACAACATGTTGGGTTTTTCTAACTTTTCTATTACCTCACATACGAATTGATAATTGCTTCTTAGAAAAGCTAGATCTTGTCGCAAATCTTTGTTTTCCAAAATATTTATGCAATCTTTAATCGATTGAGAAGAATCTTCGCTAAACTTCGTAACTACTTCCTCAAGTTCTTTGATATATTTGTCATAATAAAATGTGGCCTGTAACCATGTTCCCCACCTCGTTATAATCGGCTCTGGGGGCAATGGTATGTTTGGAAATTTTTCCTTAAAATGTTGCACTCTTAGTGGGGCTTTAACAAAAATCTTTTTACCATTTGCCACTAATTTATTAACAGTAGGAAACTGCAAACGTATTCCTTCAGCCACTCTGTTTAAACCGTGGGCAATGCAAGTAGAGTGAATTAAATTGGGGTACAATATTTTTAGATTATTCCCTGCTTTCAACGTATAACGAGCTGCATCCGAGATCATCAATAAAATTTTATTCGCCGGTATGGCATTTGGCAAAAATAGTGACGTAAGACTGTCATTTACAAATCTGGTAATCGTATTGCCATTTGTTTTATCTAACATTTTCAAACTTACTACATACCCTCAACTAGGGAAATTTTCATTTAAGATTCCAACAATTAAACTTGCCACGTATCTTCCACAACTATCGGTTGTTTCATCGACAGCGAACCATAAATAATTATCTCCAATACGATGTCTAATTTCGTTGTAAACTTGCTGAAACACTGGGCCTATATAATTTTTTCGGAGAGTACTTTCAACCGGAATATGTCGATTGTAGTGTTTTTCAAGGAATTCTTGAAGAGGGCCTTTCTCCAATTTTTTTAAAGGTATATTGGACTGGATCATCATTTTACATAAATCGAAATTAAACTGAAACTGCTCATCTTTTGTGGAAGTAGATGCAACAGATTCATGTATGGTCTGTTGTTTAATTTTAGAAACTTCAAACATTTTCTTCCTTTCTACATGAAGAGTCGTTGTGACATGTTGCGTCACGTTATATTTTTTATCACTTTGAATCTAAAACAACGTACATATACAGGATTAACAAAGGAAAATAGATAAAAAAAAATAGTGGGCTTACGGTTTTCACACAAGCTCTGCAGAGTATTTTGTTGT